GCCCAGTCTTGTCAGAACAATGCATTCTGGGATATAGCTTGTGCCTAGGCCTTTAAAAATTGCTCCCAGCTTAGTGGTCAAAGTTACCCCAAAAGTTCTGTCTTGGGGCAACTTTGACCACCCTTGTTGACAAGTTCCCTGTAAAAAACATCTGTTTATTGTTATTTGATCTCTAAGCTTCTCAAAAAACTTATCTTTTACCTATAAAGTTTCTTTAAAGACATGCCACCAACAACATTTTGATATCCACTTTTTAAACATATAAATTATGGTGTGTAATTTTGCTGTCTTTCTACTATTTGAAAAGACATTGAAAATGAATTAAGCCACTCTGACCAGTAAAAGAACAAAAGTCGCAATTCCACTGATAAAATTATAGTGGTGGTCAATTTTTTAAAATTCCCCAAATCGGCTAAAGTTACCCCTGTTTACGGTATGCCCTCGGTTCTGTATCTGTGCTGATGGTATAACTATTTACTCCTGTCTTAGTAATAAGTCTGATGTGTTTGATAAGGTCAAGTTAGCAGTTGATCTAAAAACCTGACCTACATTTAGTTGTTAATAAGGGCAAGAGATGTCTTGTCAGTTTTAACGCCTCAAAAACGAAACTGCTATTAATCGTCAGAGAGAAACCTTTCTGCTTTCCACCAGCATAACTGGTGCTAGGCTCCATGTGAGTGAATCATGGCATCTTCTTCGCCTGAAGTTTCCTGCTAACATCAAATGGAAAGAATATATTGACAGGTCTGCTGCTAGGAAAGCTGGTTACTTATGTTGTGCTAGACAGATTTTCTCGTCCGAATCTAGCTTACATATGTGACGTCACCCCGTGCTGTCTGCCCCGTTGCTGTTCTATCCTGCGACGATCAACTGACTTGGTATTGGTCGCGGCACCAAACGTGACGTTCTAACCCTTTGTTGATTCAGATGGGAATCTGGTTAGATTCGGTATCAGCCTTGTCGTTCCCAGCTCGCCTCCAACGTCTGGTTACCGAAGTAACTGCTTTGATTTCTAGTCTAACCTACCCACGTTGGGATTTGATCTTAGGTAGACGAAATCAATCAGTCGCCGAGCCGTAATGCAAGTCGAGTCTGAACAAGGGTAATACCGCACAAGTATATGTAAAAGAAAATAAAGTCGCAACTCGAAAAGTTCAAATGTGTCAAGAAAGAATAACAATATTTTATATCTGGTTTCTGAATACAGGACTGCGTCTTTCTCCCAAAGCGCTATATGGTTTCGTGACACTTTGTGTTTCTTAGGCGAGTCTTAACATCTTAAGTTGTTTTTTTCTTTAAGAAACTGGTTTTTGGTGTATCTTCAGGCGATATACGTAAAACTTGTTTTGGTGGTGTGAGTCTAAGTCGTTCTTCAAAAATAAATTGTTCTTGGTTAGAAGTTGAGGTCGTGATTGCGTGGGATCTCAGTCAGCTTTCTGCGGGGCGGGTCTCAGAGCTCACAGCTCAATTCTGCGTCTCTCTCTCCGACTTCCAACTCCAACTCTACTGCTTGCCGGTCTCTTCAACCCCAACTGCCGTCCACTCGCTGCGACTCTACTTATATGGACGCCGACCAAAACCGGGGTGAGCTTGTCGGGGTTTGAGATTCCTTGATAATTATAAATCCACAATGAGGATCTTCTTTGTTCTCGGATAGGAAAATTTATTACTTTTCATTTTTGGAAGTCCTTACTTTCTACTTCAAGGGAATCGTTCACCCAAATTCTTCCTTTCTCATATTGGTATCTCACCCAATCCCCTCAGAGGGCGTCAACAGGTTTCCCCCCTCTCTCTCTCTCAGTGGCATCTCACACCATTCCCTTCAGGGGGCGTCAACAGGCCTCCCCTCCTTCTTCATAGCTTACCTTCGCTTACCGATCACGCCACCCTTTCAGCCAATGAACGCTCAGCAGCGTGGGTGTTTGCAATTATCGCTCAAAAGAAAAAAAAATGCTTCCTTTTTTTTTCTACTTTCTTTTTCTTCCCCCGAGCAGACCTCTACGAACCGTAGTGTGGTCCTTAATTTCTATCTCAACCGAATGTCATCTGGACTTTATCAATCGATATTTTCGCCAGCGTCAAGTGGGTGGTTTAACTGGACGTATTTGCATTCTGTCGTTAATTATCTCTTCCGATAGAAACTTTTATCATGTCCAGGTTTGGAAAATAAAACAAGTGTTTTTTTTTTTCAAACCAATGTTATCTCCGAAGGATAGTTAATGGTTTAATCTTTCCTTCTTTGTAACTTGTGGGGTGGTCCAGCTGACATTTTTCTCTGTCAGTGCATGACCTAATTAATATTATCTCTTAGCATTCTATCCTGTAGGCCACTTGACCAATTTGAAATTTTCATTATTGCCATGGACAGATTGCTATCTTTTTTCGCCGCGCCGTAACATAAATTAATTCGACAGATCCGGCATCTCAGGAATCTCCTATCTTCTGCGTGAGAAAAAGGATACTTTTTCTTTTCGCAAATGGAAATAAAATCTTTACCACTTTTCTTTGTTAGAAAAAATAATATCGCTCAGTGTCCTTTCGTGATAGCTTCTTATCACCTAAATTAATTCTCGCCTTTTTTTTTCACGCAACCCTAAATAGTGTCACATATTTATAAGTCTACAAATCGTCAATGATTCTTCGTGAAAAGCTCTGTACATTTATGTGAAACGGAATAATCATGCAAATATGTAAACGAAAACTAATAACGAAAGAGTGGTGAACGTTATAGAATGTCAAGTGGCTCGCATTTATATGTAAATTAAATAAAGTAATAATTTATACAGGCATATGGAATACTGCGATAATGAAATAAATATTTCTCTAACCTATAATAAATCTATTCTCTCGAGGTTAGCCAAATATACCCCGATAGATCGAAATTGTTTTATTCATTCTACAGGGAGAAATATTATATGATGAAATTCACACAATATATTGCTTATATAAACATAAGTAGAGGTAATAGATTTAATGATCATTGGTTAATTGGAAAACAATGTCAAATAACTGACATGGCTAATAAAGATGACATTTTATCTATATATATATATATTTCACAAATATTTTATTATACAGTTTTTATACAATTATTTTTTTCTATATTAAACAGTTTATATCTATCTATGGATCCTTCTTCTTTGTCAAGATCTATCTATCTATCTATCTATATTTCTTTGTAAATATCTATCTATTTATCTATCTATCTATTAATTTATCTCTATTAATATATATGTATCAATATTATCTCATTTTTCTTTTTGTGAATATCTAACTAGCTAGCTACCTCAAATTCTTCATTATCTATCTATCTATCTATCTATCTATGTGTTTGTGAATATCTATCTTAGTAAATATCTATCTATCTACCTATCTGTCTGTCTCTCTGTCTATGAACATCTATTTATATATGAGTATATGTTTGTTAATATTTATTTATCTATATTATTCTTTTTCTACGCACTAATTGCATTGATTATCCAACTGTTGAGATCTGTTTACATAGGTGCATATATACATGAAAATGCTATACAACCAATAGGCACATGCACGTGCACACACACATACTCGCATATACACAGACATACGCACGCATGCACACGCGTATATACATACAAACACAAATTAAAGAAGAACGGAAGCATGAATAAGATTCAGGAAAAGGTGAGGTATATAAAGTGAAAAAAAAAAAATTATATAAAATAACGTACCATACCAATTGAGGTTTCCAGTTACATCGCCTCAGATGTCATACCAGTTGAAACTTTCCTTTGCACTGTAATGATGATCTACTAAGAAGATTGTCCGCGTCATATGACACTGCTAAATAAATACAGTCTTGAAAATATATCAGTATTTTAGATAGGATCTTTATTGTACAAGAAGCAAAAATGCTGTTCCGTTCCTTATACGTATATATGACTAACATTTTATTAAAATCATCTATATATATATATATATATATATATATATATATATATATATATATATATATATATATATATATATAATATTTCTCTGTAGAATAAATGAAACAATTTTGATCTATCAGGTATATTTGAAAAACGTCTAGAGAATAGATTTAGTATAGGTTAGAAAAAAAAATTATATATATATATATATATATATATATATATATATATATATATATATATATATATGTATGTATGTATGTATGTACTATCCACTCCACCGTGCTCCTCACTATATATATATATATATATATATATATATACAAGTATATAATTGGTATATATGGAATGAATTTCAATAACCAACAATTACTATTCTTAAAAGAGTGCTCAATACAAAGTAGAGCAGATATAATTATTATTTATAAAAATATAACATAAGTATGTTATAAAATCACTACAAAAATAGTCGGTTTTGAATTCAGAGTTGTCCTTCTCTTAGACCAGTTGGCATCCAAGGCTATAGAACCCATATCTAGACGGAGAAGAGGTTTAACACCTTTCTTAAGGGTAAGTGAATGTAACGGATTCGGCTGGTATTCGAACTCGGCCTTCCGATTCTCCAATCCAAACCGCTATCTACTACTCTACACTATATATATGCAAATGAGAAAATTTTCTATGAACATCGTAATTTCTATAAAATACTGTAACGAATAGTGGCTACAAAAGCTCAAAAGTATATTATATAAAAAATGAAAGTGGAAACCATAGAAAAAACAGCGAAATGGTAAAAATCAAATTAGGACAAAAATTCCTTGCATTAATCGTTAAAAATTTTCCTAAAGATAGTAAACTCAATACAATTTTTAATTAAAAATACCCTAAAATTAAGTTACAGTTGTAATGAAAACTTACAAATGATTATTAAGAAACAAAAAACTAATGACTTGAGTAAAAACTTAGACCACAATCTAAGAAATTTAAACAGTATAATTGTAGAAAAATCACGTGGTAGAGATAAACACTTAGTTGTGGAGCAAGCTAAGTGAACAATAATCCAACCTTTAGAAAGAGAGCTATTTATGT